AAACTGTTGAAAAAATTTCATTATATTCAATGCCCTCTCGTTGAGCGAATCCTTTTGCAACCAATCTCGCCTTCTTTCGTTCATCATTTCCTTTTGAGTCCAATTTGCTTTTGAAAATCCACTTATTATCTATGGCTTTAGTATCTAGAGAAAATTCAATAGGTTCTCAAACTTTGTTATGTTCCATAGAATTTATTTCATCATCCATAGCATTTATCCATTTATGTGACTCAGGACTTGCCAATGTTGATTAAAAGTAACAAGGTCAACAATATGCCCTACATTAAAATCACTCATAGTGGAAACTTTCCTAGTGGATTCAGTCAACTATCTTCTTATACAATCCAAATAAGCGTCAAAATCAGAGAAGTCGAAAGAGAGATGAAGGTATTTCAATTTTAATCAATTTCTCTATCATATCCTTTGAAATGTGACCCGAACTCTTATGCCATAACATGGAGGATGATTCACGAATTAGAGACATTTTCTTTAACATATTCACAACACAAGAAACTTCACCAAAAGAAGCCAAAGACAATATATATAAATCATCACATAAGATGTCATTTCCAATTAAATGAGAATCATAAAACAATTCAACCATTTTATTACCAAAATTAAAGGAAAAACCAAAAGCATCGAGTTTCAATATTAAATTCCGTTTCATTATCAGTACAAAAATAGTATTTTTTCTAAAACACAAAAAGAAAACAGACTCCAAAAATAACTTCACTACTCCTATGAACTCAACTATCACTTGAAATCCATTCCCAATGCACATGCTTACTTCATTCTCACTTGGCTTCCGTTTGCTCATGAACCCCTGTGGAAACCTTCTTCTTCTCCATCCAAGTTTTAAACTTGAGGCAATCTTTCTACCAATGACCTTTCTTCTTGCAGAATTTGCATTGATCATTTTTTTTATCGCTCATTTGGGACCACTAGAAGTCTGACTTCCAAATTTTTTGTTCTACAGATTGCGGTGTGACTTGTCGCCCTTATGGAACTTAACTTATGGTTATGAAAAGACCCATTGTTCTGTGGTGGCTGAAAAGCTAATTGCACAATTTTGACATTTCACGCCTCAACCTATACTCCTCTTGGGCACATAAATCAATAAGGTCATTCAAATCTCATTTATCTCTTTGAGCATTATAAACAACCTTCAGCTGATTAAATTGGCTCGAAAGGCTATTTAGAACATGATAGACTAGAAAAGGCTCAGCAATGGGAATCTTAAGAACCTTTAGTTTAGAAGATATATTAATCATTTTCATAACGTACTCCCTAACTCCACTTACGCCGTCATATCTCATATTCATCAGTTTGT